CCAACAAAAACATAAAGTGACATACCCCTAAAGAAAATAAGACTTAGTGTAAGTAAAGCAAACGTTTATTTGACTATCGAGTTCGTCAAATCCAAATAGTAAGAATGAACAACTTTCTTTTACTTATAAAGACTGTTTGACATTTTGCTGCAAAGACTGTGTCGCGGTTTCTCAGTAATGGAAATGGTTGCAAATATTTGCCAGCACAGTAGCAAGTGGGTTTACACTTCGTTTCTCATTTCACGTGCGTAACTTCTCCAGCGAAACGCACAGCGAAAGACGTTACTTCTCTACACTGGGTCGAAGCGGAAGAAGCGCCGTGTTTATTGACCGAGCTTGGCGAACCTCGAGACACCAAGCCGGCTCCAATTTCCGTTCTTGTTTGTCTAGCTCTAACATCTCGTTACACATACGTGCTTTCAAGCACTTTCGATATATATATATATATATTTATAAACGACATCGTCTTCCTGCCTTGTAATACATTACTAAAGTAAAGCTGATTTTCTATACCTAACTTTCTAAAGTACTTATACGCCACTTTATTGTTCACTATATAACAATATTATACTTTAGCATGGAACACACAAAATTTCCTGTAAAATAATTTATTACCAAATGGCAACGTAACAAATTTCTCAATTCAAATAATAAATTAGTAATAATAATTAAACAGTGTTTTAGATTGAAAACATAAATATGCAGCATTCAATTAAAACAACGCTATGCTATTAAAGTTATGTAAACCATTCTGCATTACATCTGAAATTGAATTTTCAAGTGTTTATAAAATGGAATAAAGTCAGTGTCGACGACTATTATGAACGTAATTAGGAAAATCAATATTTCAGGAATAATAAATAGTAAAATTATTTTTGACAAAATAGTAGTGTTACAATTATTCAAGAACATAATGCTTCAGTTTATATAACGACCTACAAGACACTCTTTGTATTAATCAATTTTTTCCCCTCAACAGTAGTTTGTCATTACCAAATGTAAAATGAATGACAAAAGTGATTTAAATTTTCGGAACGAAATTGCAAACGTGAAATGTTGAATCCATTTCGATTTTTTTTTTTTGTGATATTGATGAGAGTGGACATCGAATCATACATTCAATATGAGAAATCTTTGGAAAATCCGTTGCTTTATTCGCGCAAAAAGAATCAGCAATGCCTTATTTTTTTTCCACCTTCTCTTTTATTTTTTATTTCCTAACGCGATAGAAGTGCAGAATGTACGTGACGACCAACAGCATTTCATTTCCCATCGATATCCGTAATTACTCGGCACACGGTACGAGTTGTATTGGCATTCCGCAATATAGATTCCGTTAGTCGCTTCTCCCTTCACAATTCTAGTGATGCTTTTTAATCGTTGAAATTTCGAGGTTCCATACCACAAAACACTTCTTATATGTATATGTGCTACATTGAAACGCAATTATACGTTTCTGAAACGTTATGCTTGCAGTAAATCTCTCAAGGAATTTCATCATTTCAATCGCATGTTGAATTGTAGTCTTCTTTTTTCGATTCAAAAATCGATTTTCCATAAAGTAGGATGTTTAATAGTAAAAATTTCTTTTGGCGAAAAATATCTTTTATATTGCACTTCTTGGCTCGGCCAATTTTCTCGAAGGTAAATTAACCTCTCGTTTTCTTCTTCCTCATTTTCCATGGTAAAAAAAGGGAGAATCCACGAGTTTCCTTCCTCGAGTTGTTCAGTCCTGAGGAGTTCTTGAGGAAGCGAGAAACGATCTTGGCTTTTACGTACACACATAGAGAAGTAATATTCTGTCGCGTGACTGTTGATCGTCGAGCGGTGAACCGTAAGATGGTCCCCTGCCCTTTTTTAAAAGTCCTTCCATTACGCGCGAATTTTCCAAGGCAGAAAATTTAGCGAAAAGAAAGTTGTGGATTAATTTTGTGCATGCGGGAAAAGGGAAGGCGAAGAGGTAATAATTGAGGGGGTGAGTCGATTTTCTTTTTCTTGTAATGATAATTTGCAAAAAAAAGGGAAAAAAAACGTCTGTACGAAAGCGAGGTTTGTACAAATGCAGTATAGGGAGGAAAGGAAACCGGCATAGCACAAAAGCGGAAGGAGAGGAATAGAGAAAATTGTATGAGACGTAGTAAGTGTAGTGCTTCTGAGAAGTGCTAACCGTGGAACGAGAAGGACTAAGTGAATTTATTAAATTCATTCTGGCGTTTCGAATGAACGTTAACTTTATATGCATTATACCTATATACATTATATAGCAGCGAGTGTTGAAGCGGAAAAGTCTTGAGTAAAAAGGCGGATGTTTCCCTGCGAAATGAAATGGCTCTCTTTTATTCCCAGAAAAAAAGAAGGAGGAGGAGGAGGATGAAAAAGAGTAAAAGAAAAATTGAATTTTCGTGAAGGCTACACTACATCAAGTTCCTTGACTTTTGGTTATGTAATTCCAAGATTAAATAAACTGGATCATATAAGACTTCAAAGGAAGGAAATGCACTTTTCTTATAGTTCAACATCTCAAGAATAATGTCTCAAAATTTGAAGACGATCAGAGCAAAACTCTTCAAGTTATTTACTAATTAGTCATGTGTCCTCAAAAACCGCAAATCCGTTTGCTAATTGCACGTTCGGTCAGTTTTTAAAAATTCAAAATGGCGGATCCAATATGGCGGACGTTTTTTTAAAATTTTATCAGATTCGTTTAAATCTTTTTACTCGGGGGTTTTTGGCATCGCTGATTACGAATCCGAAGTTGGTTTTTAAAAATTCAAAATGGCGGATCCAATATGGCGGACGAATTTTTAAAAAAATTGTTAATTTTAATGAAACTTGATATCTAGGGGTTTTTTTGGTCTCTAATTACGAATTTAAAGTCAGATTTTTAAAATTCAAAGTAATAGCCTTCTAATGTGATGCTCCAACTTAATTAAAAATAATTTTTAAGACTATAAAAATAAATTGAAAATTGTATTTAACGAACAATAAATTATAAACAACGATATGACAGTCAAAATAGAAGAATGCGATGAATTTTCAAATTAACAAGAATTCCAAGAGAGAAACTCTCACTAAAATATTTCTTAAAGAATGTCAATTATTTTCATTTAGTAATATTATCATTTATTAACGATTTTGCGTGTCCTGTCAAGTTATAGGAAAGAATTTGCTTTACAGCAATTTCCTTCTATTTAAAGCATGACACGCTTGTTTTTCAATCTCATTCCCAGAACGCGATTACTTTATTATTATTTGTGAGAAAAATTGCGTGCACGAAGCTTGGTTCTTTTGCAATTATTATTTAAGTTTTTGTTTTAAAGCAGTCTGAATTCCTCTAAAAATATTGTTAGAGAAAAAAAAAGGAAGAAAACATTAAATTTGATTGACATGTTCATAATATTTCAGTGAAAGCATTTCTCTTTTGCGATAAAATAAATTTTTTTATTTTTACTGCAACAAAGAAAGAAAAATTTAACAGTGATAATTTGATCTAGATATGAGAAGGAAGGAAATGATAACGTCAAGAGAAAAAAAAAGAAGTATAAGATTCCAAAATAAAAACAAAGGTGAAGAATTAGAAAAAAAGTCTTTTTTTTTTTAACGAAGCGGAAAAAATTTTTAATTAATAGAAGATAAAAGAGTAATATTCTCTTTTTTTAATTAACGATTAGAAGGAAAAATATTGTTTACTGGACATTCGCGGATTACATTTGACAGAGAGTATTAGTTGTAAAAACTTTCTCTCTATATCGAAGAAGTGCATTCTCTTTTTCCAATGACCTTTTACAAAATCTTGACAATATATGACAATAAATAAATTTGCTAGATACTATTTTCAAAGATTTACATCTCAAAATTCAGGTTCATTGATTTGAAAACATTTTTTCGCAATAATCAAGTTGGGGAAAATTTTTTTTTTACAAAACTAAAAGGACCATAAACTTGGGGAATTTTTTTTTCTCAACAAATATCTAAATGCCTGGAATTTTGTTCATGCTTGAATGGAGTTCAATTTTAAGAAATGTAGAGCAAAGAGTCTGAAGCAAATGCAGAATATGTCTAAAGCAGCAGCAGCAGCAGAGGGACTGGGACCGATAAAATTACTATCGAGCGAACATCCCGAACAAGTGTACGCAAACTTTTAACGAGAACGGCCCACTTTTACACCGATCCAATAGCATTGACAAGTCAAACTCTTTTTATTGAGTAAATAAAATTTCCGTTAAAACATTTTTTATCTCCACGAAACCCGATATACCAGGAGGATTCGTGTGCGTCAATCCTCTCCAACTTTTTCATTCCGAAAAAAATTGTTTGAAAACTATATATTTAATTTTGTTTTTCTAAAATAAATTACAAGTTTTTTTTTTTTTTTTTGCTTCTTTCAATTATTTTTTCAAGTTTAATTAAATTTCTCGTTTTTCTTAGGTAAATTAAGATCGGAATTGTGTAAATTCATTTCGAGAAAATTGTTTTTCACAGGTTTTGTTCAAAATCCGAAGCATTTTCACATTTTTTTTGTCGGCCATATTGAATCCGCCATTTTGGATTTTGAATTTCTGATGTCATTCGTTATCAACGACTCTAAAAAGCTTGAGAACTTCTTTGGATCTAATAAAAATCATGTATTGTTTGAATGCCAAGTATTTTGACATTTTGGTCGGCCATATTGAATCTGCCATTTTGAATTTTGAATTTCTGTTGTCATTCGTTACCAACAACCTTGACAACTATAAGAACTTCTTTGTATCTTACAAAAATCATGAATTGTACAACATTTTGAGATTTTGGTCGGCCATATTGAATCCGCCATTTTGAATTTTGAATTTCTGATGTCAAATTCGTTATCAAACCCCAAAAAACCTTATAAAAAAATTGCTGACTACAGAAAAATAACTATTTATTACAAAAAATATTTTTACATAATTTATTACACATGTATGGTGAATATTTTATTTTTGATTAAAATTATTTGAAATCGACAATTTCATTTCTAGAAAATAAATACATTAATTTTAGTCTCTCCTGCTAGAAATATTTCTTCAAAAAATTAAATAGTTTTCCTATAAGAATTTGTACTTAAAAACAGTACAATTAAATTTTTTTACATTTTTTACATTATTAATTTTTTAAATTTTTACTTTTTTCTATTTTTTCTATTTTTACTTTTTTTCTATTTTTTCAATTTTCAGAATATTTTTTTCGATTACGTTCGAACGATGTTTTTAGATACGTTTTTTTTTTATTGTTGTTGTCCATTTTTCTTTTACATTTTTTTCTCTCTCAAACTAAAAAAGAAATGTAAAGCAAAAAATGACAATAGCAAGAAAGATAATAGCTCTGGTAAAACCTCGAACAATTTTAATGTTATTTTCATCCACACAGTATTTTCTGCTTGCGGCAGCAGCGCACAAAACGTAGGATTCAACATCGATATCAGCTTCGAGGGGAAATGTTTCCTGATCCATTGGACTAAGGCGCTTGTAAAGTCGATTGACGTGATTTCTCTCAACTGACCACGACTTGGATGCAACTGACTTCAGAGAGCGAAGCGCATTTTGCACTCGGACGTGTTCAGCAACGATCCTAGAAAATAACCAATTGAAAAACCAATCTTGATGCTCAATTCTCTTCTCAGAAACTTGACAAAAAACATTGATATACTTCCGATTGTAATACATTCGTCAGTATTTTTCAAACATTTGTCTCTTGTGTTCCCTTTTCTCTTTTTTTATGAAGGGAATTTTCAATTTTCATTTTTAAAAATATTCCCTTTCTGATAAATTAAATAAATTGTGGCAAATAATATTAAAGAGTAATTTTTTTTTAAATATTAAAAGATGCGAAGACAATTTTTCATCAATACTGCAGTAGGCTTGATGCTATCTGCATAGTTTTAGAAAATATAAAATTATTTTTAAACAGAGTAAAATTTTAAAAAAATGGTAAAACAAGTTCAGAATAATATTAAAATGTATTTTTTTTTTTAAATAATATTAAAAGATGTGAAGATAATTTTGCATCAATACTGCAGTAGACTTGATGCTATCTGTATAGTTTTAGAAAATATAAAATTATTTTTAAACAGAGTAAAATTTTAAAAAAATGGTAAAACAAGTTCAGAATAATATTAAAATGTTTTTTTTTTTTTTTTTTTTAATAATATTAAAAGATGTGAAGATAATTTTGCATCAATATTGCAGCAGGCTTGCTGCTGTCTGCGTGGTTTTAGAAAATAAAAAATATTTTTCAAACAGAGTAAAATTTTGAAAAAAAAATGATATAACAAGTTCAAAAGAAAACATCACCAAATTGTCTCTGACAATAAAGCAAAATAATACAACTTTTTATTAAAAACCAGAAAAAATTTCCATAATGTTAATGTATATAGTAAATTGCAAATTAGTTCATTATGTAAATTTTTTTTCTACTCCTTTTTGTGTCGCAAAAGTATATAAATATTTTTTTTTATCGTGATTTGACACACTTTGCTGCTAGTTTTATTTTGTGTAAGAATTTTTTTATTTTTGATGTTAGTGTCATTGATTTTTTTGTTTCATACAGTGTGATACAAGTCAGAGACATAAAAGTGTCGGTTGTGATTGATACTTTTAACCCACTTGCAAGAATTGTGTTAAATATCTATTTTATTATATGAGAAAAATTTATATTATAAAACAAGTTATATGGAAAAATTAATACTTTCTAATACATACTTACTAATACATAATAATTTACAAAAAAAAAATTTTCAATTTTTTAAAAAATTATTATTATTATTTTATTAAAACATTTTCCAACTAAAAATAATATTACGTGCTGCCTGGAATTTAATTTAAAATTGTTATTCATTTTATTCAATATTCCTTTAAAAAAAAAATTGAAAAAATAAATTTAGTGTTCAAAATACAATTAGTTATTATTTTAAATTGATATGTTTTCGTGATGGGAATAACAAAAATAAAAATCACTTTATTTTGTCATGCATTAGAAAACAGATCCTCTTATATTTTCTTGATATAAGATAAGAAGTGTCAAATTGAAATTCGAAAAAGCGGTGAGTAAAGAATAAATTTTATTCTAAGGAAATATATAGAATCCCATTGACTTTATTATTCGAATATATGAAAAAATTGGAATTTTTTTTATATTGAACTTTATTTTTTAGAGCAGTTAGAAAAAAAGCAATTTATAACTATAATATTTTTAAGAAATATAAAATATTTAAATAAAAATATGAAAAACTAAAAGAAAAATAATAAATTAATAATAAATTAAAAATAAAAAAATTAATTTTTAAAAATTAAAATAAAATAAAAATATAAAAAACGAAATTTAAAAAAAATTAAAAAATAATATTGCGAGACAACGTTAACTAAATTTTATGCTATTTGGATATTAATAAATAAATCATGAATCAATTTAAAAAAAAACTAATCAAGAAATAATATTTGTATAAAAAATAAAAAATTTTTTTTTTATCAAGAATTAATTAATTCTCATAATACAGCATTAGAGGTCCTGCAAAATAGTGGGATTATAATTAATTAATTTACCTCTGTTTTGCACCAAACAAATTCAAGATTGTATCACAGATGACGGACGGTAGCCAGTCAGTGAAAAAGACGGCTAACCAGTGGAGCACGACATTATTCGTCATTCCACGAAAACCAAATGTTGGATATGTAAATTTTAGATTTCCTCGATTTCCATATGTAACAAGTTCGCCCCATGAGCATCCAATTGAAGTCGCGTTGTAAACTGACACTTTGTCATATTTGCTTCTAAAAAAAAGAAATTTTTTATTTATATATTTCTTTCATTTATAAAAAAAAAAAAAAAAAAAAAAAAAAATTAGTTCACATCACGAAAACTACATCTTTTTTCATAGAAATTTATATATTCTCTTGTTTTGAATAGAGATTGTTTACTTTTAATAACGAAATTTTTTTGACGAAAAAAAGGATGAAGAAAATAGCAAATACATTTTTGTTAAAAAAAAATTCTGTGTATATTCTGGTGTATTTTTATATTCTGTTTTAGAAAAGGAATTCTTTTTGTAGTTATTGACAGAAAATTTTGAGAAGTAAACCCCAAATTAATTATAAGGACGTTGATTATAAATTCGAAGTCAGTTTTTAAAAATTCAAAATGGCGGATCCAATATGGCGGACATTTTTTAAAAATTTGATCAAATTCGTTTAAAACTTGTTACTCGGAGTGTTTTTATGTCGCTGATTACGAATCTGAAGTCCATTTTCAAAAATTCAAAATGGCGGATCCAATATGGCGGACTTTTTTTTTTTAAATTTGATCAAATTCGTTTAAAACCTGTTACTCGGGGGTTTTTTATGTTGCTGATTGCGAATTTGAAGACCGTTTTCAAAAATTTGAAATGGCGGATTCAATATGGCGGACGTATTTTTTTAAAATTCATCTGATTAGCGTCTACAAAATATAAAATATTTCAAAGATTGCATTTGAATTTTTAATTTACTATGAAATAAAGAATTAGTTTTAAGCATATAAATAAATAAATAAATAATTATAAATAAGTAAATAATTAAAAATAAGTAAATAATTATAAATAAATAAATAATTATAAATAAGTAAATAATTAAAAATAAGTAAATAATTATAAATATATAAATAATTATAAATAAGTAAATAGTTAAAAATAAATAATAAAGTCAAGATTTTTTTTAAATAAATAAATAAATAATAAAATATTAAATCAAAAGGAACATTAGGAAATATCTGCAGATAGAAAAAAAATTGCATTGCGTGAGTAATCGCAAGGAGAAAGCTACCGTATGTATGTATATACGAAAGGAAAAGTATATCTTGATGTCTTCTAAGAACATTCAATATTTGCTCTGCAAACAATTCACGTTGAATAAGCCTCATAAAATTTCAAAACTATTAAACTTTGCTTTTCATACATATTTCGACTCATGCGTAATTAGAAAGTTTACATGAATCGTTGATTTATACTTCTGACACGCATATGCAGTTCAAACTGTGAATTTTCTAATGTAATGTCAATTACACTCCAAATGCGAACTATACCCGCTTGTGTAATAACTTCTATTTTCAAAGTTCAATATATAGATAATCACACTATTTCTCCAAACTGAATAAAAAAAAAAAATAAAAAAAAATAAAAAATGAAAAAAAATAAAATAAATAAATAAAACAAAATAGAAAATGAAAAAAAATAAAATAAACAAATAAAAAAAAATATAAAATGAGAAAAAAATAAAATAAACAAATAAAAAAAAATATAAAATGAGAAAAAAATAAAATAAATAAATAAAAAAAATATAAAATGACAAAAAAATAATTTTTTAATAATAATAATTAAATATAATGATTATAAAATGTGCCAAGGAATATATATGACATTCTTGGAGAATTAATTATATGTGCGCAAGATGTTTTGAATTTAATTTCAGTTTACGTTTACATATGTATATAAATGGAAGTGGATATAATTTTATGTAGCTGGATATATTATTGAATTATTTTGCCAAAATGTACTTTAACTCATGCAGTTCGTGTGTGTCATTTGATTAAACTCAGACTTTTTAATTTAAAAATAAATGACGTTATATTTAACATTTCAAATATGAAACTTCATTTGCAGGTTTCCCCAGGAACTCTCTGAAGATAAATTATATTCACTTCACGTGTTGAAATTGAATACAATTAATGATTTCCGTTGAATAAAAAAGATTATTTTTAAATGCCAAAAATTAAAAGACTGTTATTGTAAAATTTTTATTTTTAAAGTATCCTTTTTTTAAATTATAAAAGATTTCTGTTATTAAATTTATCAACTCGATGTTGAGTTTCCTTAAAAAAAATTTTTTTTTTCTAAACTCTTTATCAATTTCTATCATTTTTATTTTTACTTTACTTTTCGCATTGAAAGTGAAAGTTATAATAAAAGTGAAAGTAAAATAATAGTGAAAGTAAAAGTCAAAGTTATAGTGAAAGTGGAATTTGAAGTTAATGTTAAATTTAAAATGGTGTCTAAAAGAAACTGAAAATGAAATCAAAGTGAAAGTCAAAGTAAAAGTGAAAGAAAAAGTGAAAATAAAAGTGAATGTGAAAATGATAGTGAAAATAAATTTTAAAGTTAAATTTAAAATGAGGTCTAAGTGAAAAAAATGAATGTGAAAATAAAAGCCAAAGTGAAAGTTAAAGTAAAAGTGAAAGTAAAAATGAAAGTCAAAGTAAAAGTGAATATGAAAATTATAGTAAAAATAAAATTGAAAGTTAAAGTTAAATTTAAAATGAATTTAAAGTAAAAATGAAAATAATAATTAAAATACAAGACAAAGTGAATGTCAAAGTGATGGTGAAAATGAAAATGATAGTGAAAGTGAAATTTAAAGTTGAAGTTAAAGTTACATTAAACTGAAAATAAAAGCGAAAATAAAAGCCAAAGTGAAAGTAAAAATAAGTTAAATTAAACTGAAAATGAGAGTGAAACAAAATCCAAAGTGAAAATTAAAGTGAAAGTGAAAGTAAAAATGAAAGTCAATGTAAAAGCCAAAGTGAAAGTAAAAATAAAGTTTAATGTAAAAGCCAAAGTGAAAGTTAAAGAAAAAGTGAAATAAAAAAGAAAGTCAAAGTAAAAGTGAATGTAAAAATTATAGTGAAAGTGAAAGTGAAGGTGAAAGTTAAAGATAAAATGAAGTCAAAGTGAAATTGAAAATGAAACTGAAATAGAAACTAAAAGTGAAAGTCGAAGTGAAGATGAAAGTGAAAGTAAAAATGATAATGAAAGTGAAAGTCAAAACCATAGTGAAAGTAAATTTTCGTTTTTTTCAAATTTCACTAAAAAATGATTTTCCAAATACCTAAAAAAAATTTTTCACTCAAATATCGACTGAAAAAAATATTTTCCTCGATGTTTATGTGAGAAAATAAACAAAATGTCAAAAAAATAAAGAAAAAATTGCCCACAATAAATTTAATAAAGTGAGGATAAAAAAGACAATGTAGATCACAAAAAAAAAAAATAAAAAAATAAGAGAATATTTTATGTCAAATGTCATTTCGGAAGAGAAAAATAAAAAAAAGAAAAGAAAAGAAAAGGTATATCGTGTGTGTGCCTATATACTTTTTGAGACGAAGAGGCACACAGAAGAGGTTAAATCATCCGAGCGAGTGATCCATCAACGTCGAATATCGCCACATTTTCTCCCCCTAAGAAAATTACATTTTGAAACGCCAGTGGTTTCCGAAACTAAGCTTTATTTTTCCTCGTAAGCGATTGAGATCTCGTCTTGAAGCATTTCGAATATATAAAGTCGCGACGTTGAATTCCCCGAGTCTAGAGTGTATCGACTAAGAAGAAGAAGGAGGAAGAAAAAAAAGGCGAATACGTACTTTCAAATGAAATGTGAACTCGATGTTCAGTCGAGCGCTCAAAGGGGGAAATGCAAAATGATGGATGCGGAAATATCTTCTTCTGCCATTTTCATTTATGCATTCAAAAGTTTATAAAAAAAAAAAAAAATTTCAATTTATTTGTTTTAGAATTTTTTTTCCTGTTATGGCGAAATAAACAAATTATTTATTACATTATTTGATTGACTTTAAAATAGTTTTATTTATTGTTTTTATTTTACTCAATTTTTTTTTTTTTTTTTTTTTTAATGTTATATTTAACATTTTTCGCAATATTATTTTTTTTGTGTTCTAAAAATAATACGAGGAATTTATGAATTTTCTTCAAACAGCAATTAAAATATAATTGATGGATATAGAAGAGTCAATAGGAGAAGAAAAAAAGGAAAAAAATAAAGTTGAAGAGTTGTTTATTATATAATTTAAGCAATGTTCGAAAAACCTGTTCTGGTTTCGTAGCTCAACGATAAATTAAAATTATAAATTAAAATAAAATAATAAATTAAAATTAAAATAGTTTTATTTATTGTTTTTATTTTACTCAATTTTTTTTTTTTTTTTTTTTTTAATGTTATATTTAACATTTTTTCGCAATATTATTTTTTTTGTGTTCTAAAAATAATACGAGGAATTTATGAATTTTCTTCAAACAGCAATTAAAATATAATTGATGGATATAGAAGAGTCAATAGGAGAAGAAAAAAAGGAAAAAAATAAAGTTGAAGAGTTGTTTATTATATAATTTAAGCAATGTTCGAAAAACCTGTTCTGGTTTCGTAGCTCAACGATAAATAACGTTGGAAAACAGAAAGGCTGATGGCTAGTCAGGAAAACGCAGACGAGAAAGTGCCTTTGCAACATCACGTACAGAGAAAAGAGAAAATTTATTGTAAAAATTACGACGGGCGCTTGTTCAGAAGAATCGGGAGGTTGGTCAATGCTTGTAATATATAAAGAAAATGGGTTTCCACTGCGCTCTACAACTATGTCAGAATTTTAATACAGAAATATTCGCACAGTCAATTTTTTTGAATATGTTCAATATTTTTTGTTAAATATTTTTTTCTTTTTATTTTAATTATTATATTTTTTTAATATATATGTATTGAATTTCAATATCACGTTAAAGACACGTAAAGACTGCGTTTCAAATAATATCAAATTCAGCAAAAAAATAACCATGTAACTGTACAAAGTGTTTTTTTCGAATACAATCATAGTTCATTTGTGTTTTGTAGAAAAAAATTTTAATTTAAAATCGAATAAAAAAATTTCCAATGGAGGATTTTATTAACTATTGATTGGTAATTTGTTTTTTTTAATTGAATGCAAAAATTTTTATTTGAGATAAATAATAATTCTTTATACTATTCTTTATAATAATTTTTTCCTCTAAAATATCTCACATTTTTTTTTAAAAGACTTTTAGCTTATAAAATTTCTTTTTGAGTTAGACATTTTTTCACATTTTTCACGAAGTTGCTAAGGGTCAGAAAAATCGGGAAATATTATTTAAAGTAGTGGAAAAATATTCTGGATTTATGCAAAAGAAATTCTAAAGTTTTTGGTGAACTTTAAAAATATTGAAATCCTTAAACTGCGTTCTTGAATTTTTCTTTTTTCACCATTAAAATTTAAAATGAAACCAAAAAGAGTTACAGTTCCTATTTTTATAAAAAAAAATAGAATTTTTGTATTTAAATAATTAAATTTTTACAGAACTTTCTGGGAAAAAAAACTTTCTGAAAATTATTCAAAATAATTACTTTAATTTCCATTTACAAAAAAATATAATTCTGGGGAATAATTGAATTTCTATTTCTATTTCGGAGAATTTATTATAAATATGTTTAAAAATAAGTACTGTATCAACGGTCCTCAGGGTCGTTAATTACGAATCTAAAGTCAGATTTTCAAAATTCAAAATGGCGCATCCAAGATGGCGGACGACTTTTTTAAAAATTGTTCCAATTTCCCTGAAACTTAATAGTAGGGGGTTTTTGGTGTCGCTGATTACGAATTTCATGTTAGATTTTCAAAAAAGAATTGCGGATCAAATATGGAAGACGTCTTTTTCAAAAATCGTTGTAATTTGCCTAAAAGTTGATACTCAAAGGTAATGAAATTGGTTAAATGTTGTTACTTGAGAGTTTTTTTTATTGTCCGCCATTTTGGATCCGCCATTTTGAATTTTCATAAACTGTTAAGTTTTTTGAAAATTTGCCGAAAGATTAAAGTGCAAGTGCAACAGGTGAAATGAAAATAGATTGAACTTTAGGGACAAAAAAAGGTGCAAATATGTTTTTGTGTTAAAAAATGAAACATTAATAGAGAAAAGATAAAATATTAATTTTATTATAAAGAAATAGAAGGATTTTGTAAATTTACCTTAAACCACGTTCCCATGCGGAGACAATAAGTGTATTAACAGCGAGATCAACGGGAATAATTTCAGCCTGATAGTCCGCGTGTCCAAATGCAAATCCAGCGCCAACCATTAGGGCCGTTGGTCCTTTTATGACTTCAACATAGCCTGGCATTGGTTCCTTGTAAACGGGACCCACAATGGGGAGTCGAATTAAAGCTAGTGGAACATCAGGTACTTGTTCATTGAGTAAAGTTTCAGCAATTTGCCCCCTATATCTAAAGAGGTTAGTGGCTGCTGCAACCACTTTGAGGTTAGGTAGGTCTTGACAGAACTCGAGGACAGTGTCATGTGGTCCAGCTGCATGAAACACGACGCTGACATTTGCCAGAAGAGCCTGATCTTCTTTACTTAGTCCAAGGCTCTCGTAAAGGAGATTTCCCTCTATGGACCTCACACGCGAAAGTGCATTCGGATCCTCAAGTCGAAGTCTCTCGTATCTGAAATATTTTTTAATTATTTTCATTTATCTGGAGCATAGAATTTTAATTCAGAACCATCATCAGGCCACTTTTATTAACCTTTAGAGAAAAAATTTTAAAAATATTTATTTAAATATAGGTTTCGAAAACTAAATTTAAATAAATGTTATATCATAGTATAACAAAAAAAGGAATATCGAATAAAAAATCCCAAACATCAACACAGCATTGTGCTATAGATAATTCAGTCGTTTAAAGAAAAAGGAATCAGGGAGAATAAAAAAAGCGTGGAATTTATTGCGTGAATTTCTTTTGTATAAAAGAGAAAAATCACCGTTGAGTTGTAACATTTTCACGAAAGTCGAGGTGGAATCCCAAGTCTTTTGCAGCTCAATAAAAACCTCCCTTTAAACTCTCTCCCCCCTCGAGTTGTCTTAAAACACCTTTTGCACGTTCATGCAATAGTTCAATCGAATAGACAAGCACTTTACTCTATTGAAAGAGATAAAGTAAATTACATGATGAGCCAATTAATTGAGCTGCGAGTGAATTTGTGAAAATTAAATAAGAATTTTACAAAATTATCAACGCTGCTGATATTTCAATTTCTACTGTCACTTCTTAAATTGACATTACATCATTTACAGTGAATTTTTTTTTTTTTTTTTTTTAATTCATTAACAATCTTTACTATTAATTTTTTAAATTAAACGTTCCTCGAAATTGAATTTTTTGTTAATCAAAAACGATGTATCATTTTTTGTTTCATTTAATTTGTTGCAGACAAAGTGTTTTAGTTCACATCACATGTTTCATGGAAAAATAAAAAGTAATTTATTTTAATGCTTTCGTATAATGAAACAGTTTTAAAATGGGATGTAGGATAAGGATCGATGTACTTATACAAGCTGAGAATCTGGTAGCGCACTTTAGGTAATGAGGGTAAGTGTAAATTTGGATTACTTCCGCACACGCATCTTTGACACATCATCAGGAGGAATTTAATAGCTTAGGACATCAAGTGCGACGTATTTCGCCAAATGGGAAATTGCCAATAACGACGATTGGCTTATTAATCGCCGACCAATATTCCAAACCAATGATTTTAGAATTATTCGCGTCTTTATTATTACTATTCTTCACTTGCTGCTTTAGTATATTTTATTCTTTACTCCTTCTTATCATTTATATCTATTACTATTAATTAATTAATCACTATTGTTTTAATTTTTTGATTTACTGATCAGTAACTGTTTAGAACACTTTTTAATATTAAAAAAAAAAAAAAAAAAAAAAAAAAAAAAAAAAAAAAATGTTTTATTATTAATTAGATGTCAGGAATGAATAACTAGGACACGATACTTTTATACTAGAACACAAAGCGCATGAGTTTTAAGAAGTGAGTGAAAAAGATTTAGACACAAAACAAGAGGTCAATGTTTATTTGGCAAAACTGGAATATTTTTTTAGCGCGAAAAAATTTAATGAAAAAAATTACTGCCTTGAGGCGACAATGCTGAACTATGTTTGCGTGCTTTCATGATGCAAAAGCTTTGGTCATAACGGCGTCCAAACACGTAATACGACGATCCCATTCGTCGGTACGCGTAAAATTTACAGGAAGGTTCATTGAATCTTTATTGCATTACATTGGACGTCCAACTTGAGATACGCCTATCAGCTTATCGAATTTTTATTTTATTGCCCTCTTTAAAGAGACCATAAAAAACCCTCTTTCAAGCTTTTCCTACTTTCTTTTTTACTTCAATATTTACTTCACACTGCGTTTAATTAATTAAATTGATTACATATTTTTATTTTATCATAGTAACGGAATATTTATATTTAAATCAATTTTTTACCCCCTTGGTATTCTAATTGTGTCAGAAAATAAATTTTCAGTTACTGAAAATATTTTTTTAATTATTAGATTAATAAATAAATTCTTCAATTACAGTAAATTCTAATTGTTCGAGTAATTTTAAAAGTGGGGGAAATAATTTTTAATTTGTTCTTCCGGCCAATTAGGAATGTTGAAAGTTCATACCCGGGAGAAAGGAAAATCCTCTTAATCCGATCATCCTTGTTATAACCTGAACGCGACCTCAGAACTGCATAAACTTTAATCTTTGGAAAAGCACGTAAAATCTTTTCGAGAATAGCGCGGCCTACCTCACTGGTAACTCCCGTGAGTAGTACTTCGCGTTCTCCGAACCACTCATGAAGAGACATGATCATCAACTGCAGAGAGAAAATGAAAGTGACTCGATCGTTGAATAACTTTACTGTACGCGAGACAGGAAACTTCTTTCCTTAGCTGAAAGTTCATTCACTGGCGCCGTTTAAAGAGAGTCAACATGCAGGAAAAAATAATTTTCATAGTAAAGCAGATGCATTAGAAGCATTAGAAAAATTATTACAAACAAATCAATTGTGATATTGATGAACTTGGTTCTTTTTAAAAAAAACGATGAAAATTTAGATTTCAGAAAAAGACGATAATTATTGACAGAAGTTTTGTGGCTTAAGATTTAATTTAAAGTATAGAAATTATAAAAAGGGGGTTCGACTTAACCGATAGCGCATAAAGATTCCAAGATGCTATGAAATATATTTCATAGCGCAGCAAAGTTTCCTCAGGTAGAAATGCCAAAAGTGATGAACAAGCCTTTCGTTGTTGAGCCAAATGAGAATGTCAAAGTGGACTTAACGAAATTGAACTCAGCCTCAGGAACGAATTATGCGCCATCTACAACTTTTCATTTGAAAAGTCGCGCTAATAATATTAATATAAAAAGTAAAATATAATTAATTAGAAAAGACCACTGGGAATGACATTTAATAGAATTCATGATTAGAGTTCAACAATATTATTATGATGAAGTTATAAAAATTGATATTTCGTCGACTAACATCATCTCCTTCAAGTATATCGATATAGTTAACAATAAATATCATCAATTGTACTTTGTTCCAGAGAATGCAACACACAACTAAACTTAGGTTTTAAATAAAACGTCCACTGTGATTCAATTAACTCTTAGATACTTTCTAAGGAAACTAATCTCACATCTTATCTTCTATCAGGAGCACAGCATCAAGGAATTCATAGTTTTCTTGAATCGAGAAGTGATCTGAGTTCAATGAAAACTTGGCCTATCCTGGTTCTAGTTAGTTCTGAAGTCGTGCTTAGAATCTTGGAGTATTCAACTTATAGGGCACGTAGAGAAATCAATACTTCACCTGTAAGAAATTCGTTTACTTCCTGATTTATGAAAGAAACTAAATTAGAAGAATGTTTTTAACAATATACGATTGAGTTTGATTTAGATGTTACGAGTTATTATTGAAAACTTTTGGAATAAGTGCTAATACTTTCCCAAAATAGAAAGAATGTTTACAAACTCCCAAAGTTATAGCGAAATTATTGAAATGAATTTTTTAAATGTATGCATGAATTTTCCAAAGTATAACATTTGTATTAATAGTTGCAGGGAACCTGCAGCCTTTACGTTTAATCGTAACCTATATCCATTGGAAAACCGATGTGATGCATCTGCATGTAAACGAGCTTCAACTTCCCTTCAACCTCTACTTACGAGAAGTTTAGATTTGCATGATATTTCGTCAGTGTGGGCTTTATTTCACTCGCACAACTAATGAGCGACATTTAAACTTTGGAGGTCGACCGAAGACATTTAGGCACCCACACCTCAATCACACAAACTCAGATCTTAATATTTTGAAATTACGTAGAGATGTTCTATTTTCTATTTATCTAAAATCTAAATTGTTCTGAATTGTTTAATAAATATATTTTTCTTTGTGAGTCTAGAAATAAATAAGGTAAACTACACGTATGTTACGAGAAAAAAAATTCCCGTAAATACTGCCATTTACCACAAGAACACTTGAGTTCTATAATTTTGCAAAGATTTAGTATTTCATTCATTTGCATTTAAAAAATATTACAAAAAAAATAAACGAGAATGTTTACAAATGTTTCCCGTTGTATTTTCCAACTCCTTTGCGAAAGTGGCATATCTGATGTAGAGGCAAGGACCTTTGACAAAAATAATATACATTTCTTGGAAATAAGGAATTTCTTGTTTACGTATAAATTTAAATCTCTTTATCATGTAAATATTATTCTTATGAAAGAGAAATATACAATTGCGATAGTAAAGTATTAAAATAAAAGTATAACTTCACATTATTTAAAATGCACTGGAACGAAAAATAAAAAGGTATACATAATATATTATTATCATTGCCTATAAAGAAGACAATTATGTTTATTTTATTGAATAAAAAGCCAATAATTATTCAAATAAAGTCAGTTTTTATAAATTCAAAATGTCGGATATAATATGGCGGACGATTTTTTAAATATTAAACCAATTTGCTGAAAAATTTGCAACGCAGGATTTTATGGGCTGTCTGTAGGATACTCAGTTTACTCACAGCAAGATGCCTATCAACAGAGTAGAGCAGAAATAGTTGTTTTGATGAGTAAGTCTAAACCAATGTTAGCCGGAGCTCTCGAAAATTCATCATAGAAATTTAAAAAAAAATTATTCAATAATTGTCTCAAAAAAAATTCATAATATATCGACTTTTTTTGGCTGTATAACTGGAGGACCCCTTAAGCAAAACATATAAATATGATATTTATTTCATTCTTATGCTTTTATTGTTGAAATACTTTGCTAACACAAAAGTACAGTGTGAACATCTGCCACGTACTGTTGCTTCTATCTTTTCCTAGCCTCTAAATCTACAAATAATAAAAAAAATGTTATTACTTTAGATTTGCCTAAAGTCCATAAAACAAAGCAAATGAAATTTTATTCCATAAAATCAAAGCGTTTTATTTCTTAAAACGTGCAGGAATATTTTTTACAAAACTGATTTTCTTCAGGCATTTCTAAAAATCAAACTTATAACTTGATAAATTTTGCCACGACACAAAGACTAACAAAAACAATACAATTATAAATTAAAATAATATATTTAAATTTTTCTTTTATTTTAAAAAAAATTCTTAAGATAAATTACATTGTGCAGATAGTAGCGTAACATAGAGTAAGTATTAAAGGATGAAGCAAAAATAAATTGGCAGACGATTTACGAAATACATTTACAATTAAAGTGAAAATACTTTTTTGTTCAATCTTTTTTTGCCGGTTTCTATTAGGATTGTGTAATATATTTTGAATTATTAGATCTGCAGTACATTCTTCCTTTTGTGAATTGTAAATGTAACCGAACTGACAGAGACAGTCAAAATGACCAGGCAAATTGAAACAGCTTTCTCCCGAACTCAAAGAACAATTGTGTTTATTAGTGGTGCATTCATCCACGTCGATGCAAATTCCATATCTAGACGACCATTCGTAACCTGATTTTTGACAATGGCACGTTACGTTTATTTCATTTCTCATCAAAGCCTCAAAATCCTGATTCTCCGCTGCACTTAACTTGCATTCACGTTTATCTATTAGGAGATTATTTTTATACTTTTATATTTAATCCTGCAAAGTTCACGTCTACATTTAATATCTCTCTATTTTAATTTAAACTTTTAAGCTACTTTCAGAAAAAAATTTTAAAAACTTTTTTCAAATTCTTTAACAGTGAAAATTTTTTTAAAAAATTTCAGAATTATTTTACTTGATGTTATTAATTTCTACGTATTAAATTCTAATGAAAACGTACTTGGAGAATTATTTACATAGCAGGGATTATTTTTCGACTGAAAACATTTTTTCCAATCAGTGAAATATTTCATAGGGCAACATGCATCAGGACAAAAACTATAGATGGCGCAGGCAAATGGGTTTTTGTCGTCTGCTCTTGGATCTTTGTTATGGGTACCATAAATTCCCAAACAATCTGCATGGTTATCGCACGGTTCTCCAAAATGGGTCAATTCAGGCGTACGCAGCATCGTATACCAGCACATGTAGTAACTCGCAGACGTGCGCCACTGAAATCGCTCTAAAGTTGTTCAATTATTTGCAGAAAACTGAAAATTTTGTTTATTATTGTAAAATTTAATTTATAATTTGTTAAACTGATTATTATTCCAGAAGGATTGACGAAAGTTTAATTGGTTGCTGTCTTACCTGGTAAATTATTTGTAGCATAAAATTGAAAGAAATGATTTTTAATTAAAGTGAATCAAACAATAAAATCAAAGTAAGAAGGAGAAGGGAGGGAGAGGGAAGGAGCAAGGAGAAGGGATCAAGTGCTCACGGCAGTGACGATTGAGACCTGACGGGAAAAGGTCATTGACTGGGAGGTCTGACCCGGACAGAAAAGACTGAATATTGAAAAGGCAAAGGGCTGACAAAAATTGTATTCATCATGCCTAACAATTAATAGGTGTGCATTTTGTGAAGACCACCTGAGTATGAAGAGGCACTCCTGGCGAAATAGAGAAAAGTTGTTTTGATGAGTAAGTCTAAACCTGTATTGTGTCGTGAATTGACCGAAGAATAAACTAATATTTGTTCCGGTGACTCCAAGTTCAAGACACGTAAGTCGATAACAATATTAAAGGGAAATCTTTATGCTTTAATTTAATCCGCATGCTCTTGCATATTAATTATAAATTTCTAATCGTTATCATAATTAATGAATGTTGTCAATTTGTACCTGATTGTTAACTGAATGTCAATCATGCGACATCTCAGGTGTTGGATAGTAATTTAATTGTTATAACATCTCAAATATTTAATGGTAATTTAATTCTTATTAGACCCTACGAGGGATTACCACAAACAACACGAACCCTTGAATAACAGTTTTTTTAAATGAGGATTAACTCCGAGAACCTAGGTATTATTTTCTTTCTCCCTTTATCGCATAGAAAAGTATTTACTATAACAGATATTTATTTCTACAAATTAATTACCTATTGGCCCCTTAAAGGGTTCAAACAGTTGATCCTCAGACTTGTTCTTCCGCTCGCATTCACTTTGGGTAATGTTGATCTGCTGAGTATTATTAGGCAAGGTCCAATTGTGTTCCAACATAATCGTGACGGTGTCGTCTTCTCGCCTTAAAGCTGAGAGACTCGCTATCCTTTGAAGGTACTTAAGACAAAGCACAAAGCTGGTTTCACACTCCTTGTGAACTTCCCAGTGCAAGATCTTGAGTGGCGGCTTTGGGAATTCCTCATACAGTCGTCTTGACACATCGTTAACATCTCTGTAGTATCTTCTGTCATAATCATGAAATTTATGTCTACGAAGAAAATAAGCCACATCACGTACTGCATGCATTTTATCTCGACTAATATCCCCTCGTTCATCTTCATCAACTTCTTCATCCGTATCGATTTTTCCTGAATTGAGAAGCTTTATATTTGGATCAAATATTTGCTCCATTGTTGGCACAAGATCCACATCATTTTCTCCTGTATTGGCTTCTCTCTCGGTCGTTGTCGTTTGCAATTCGGCGAATGATATTTCAATCATTCCAATAATTAAAATCAGTTGCGACCTCATTTTTTATATAAATATAACCACAAAAAGTGTCAATAGGATGATTAATTAAACAAAAGACGAAAACGCTCTTCCTTTCAACTAGTTATTTATTTAGAGAACAAGATTTAAATTTAGTACATTTTTGCCGTTAACAAAATTCTAATAACATTTCTAGAAATTGTATCTAATATTCAGTTAATTAAAATTTTGACTTAAATTATAATTTAATATCAAAAACGATGCGATGTAAATTGTTTCACGAAGAGTACATTTTTTTAATAAAGTGTTATTATATGCTTGCAAATGTAAAGAAACCGTAGGAAAAAAAATTTAAAAGCTCATAAAAAGGAAAGGAATGTACATGAAACTTATAAAGTAGCGAGGAAATAAAAAAAATAAGGAAAAAAAAGAGAACTCGATTCATCACGACGAGGTGGAAAATCTTCACGGATGTTATTTTTCGGGATCTGCGTAGTAACGAATATTTTTATAATACTTTTTATGAATAGTGCAGACTAGTGTAAACTTGGCGAATAAAATGACAAGCGTGCGGTTTTGAGGCTTTGAGACCTACAGAGCAGTGAGGTCGACGTCGACCTACATCGCCAACGAAATGCTTCCAATTTTTTCGCGACATGACGCTCTATTCTCTGAAGCGGATTTATTGTCCTGCAGCTATTATTTCGTCTCCAGCGAATAATACCGCATCGCATTACGTATATAATGTGCCGGTTGAGACGAAGCAAGACTTCATTGACAAGAACCTTTAACACTAAGTCACCGGTCCGAATGTATCTGGCTGAGTAAGTCAGAGTAACGAGGTACTTATCTTTCTCACTCGCCCAGCTTGCAAAATACAATCTCATAGATCCAAATGTCACGGCTTCTTAGCTTAACACTTTAACACCCAAACATTTGTCTTCTTTTCAAAAATTGATAAACTTCGAGGTACATAATTCTAAAATTATATTTTTAAAATTATTTATACGCCTAAAACCTAAAAGTTCCTACTTAGGGGTTTTCGGAGTCGTTGATTATGAATCCGGTCTGCGGTTTACAAAATTCAAAATGATCCAATATGGCGGATGACAGTATTTAAAAGTTATCAGAAATAAAAATTTACGATTCATTATCAATTCTAAGTGAATATTATTTCCAGTAGAAATAGATCATAACCAAGACCGTTGAAAAGATTTTATTCCCGACAAAATTCTTACTACAAAGTCTTTTGACGTATCGAACATATATAATACTAGTTTAAAAAGAAAAATTTTCCCCATAAAAATTCGTTTTAAGTTTTTTCTTTTCCTCTATTAAAAAAAAATAGAAATATGAAAGATTTTTTTAAAAGTCTTTTAGAAACATGAAGAACATTCTGGTTTTACCAGGAAAACTTTTTCTCAATAAGTTTCCGGTTAACCGCTTATCTCATCTTATGCCGTGATCAGAATTCACTCTACGTACGAGTCCTTTCTAAGTTTCAGTACAGCTATAGCCTCTATCGCTAAAGGCGCTCGTAACTTTTAGGTGTCTTAAATACGAACTTAACTCTGATACAGTCTAAAACAGAACTCTTGTTTGACATTTATTGGTCCATTTCATTTAAAAATTGATTTTAATTAAATAACCCCCTTAAAGAGTATTTTACTTTAATAATCAAAATAAAATCAAGTTTAAGTGCAACGTGGGCACATTTTATTTTTTAAATGGTACATTTGGAAAGTTAACAGAAAATAAAAAATAGTGCTTCAGGAAATAAAATATTTTGATTATCCCTTCGATTAATCACAGGATAATCTATTATATTAATGAAATTTTTTCTTTGATTTTTTCACATTAGATCATCCAGTCCAGAAATATTCTGCTCACAGCAAGATGCCTATCGATAGAGTAGAGCAAAAATAGTTGTTTTGATGAGTAAGTCTAAACCAATGTTAGCCAGAGCTCTCAAAAATTCTTTATAAAAGTTTTAAAGAAAATTATTTTTATAAATAAAATAATTTATAAAGATAAAGATAAGTAGTGACATTAAAAATTTGTAATCAAAACTTTTACTCCAGATTGAAAAAATTTGTAAAAAGTACATGTAAGCTTCTTTAATTTTTGAAAAGAAAAATTTTGTTTTCCTTCTTTAATAGAATAGCGGTGAAGGCAATGTATATTGTAGTTCGAAAAGAGTTTCATGTAACAGCTGAGCATTTTGCAAGTGACTTCTAAACGCTTTTACTCCATATGCTTAAAACCTTATGGCAAAGAAAAGTCTTTATGAAAATTTTTTAAGGCTTGAACGTGAGCACATTTTCCCTGAAGCAGCGATGTAGATGATGCTTATAGTTGAAAACTTTACGCGTGCATTCTAAAAAGTATGAGAGTCTATGAAAAGGATTGTATCATCGAAAATGGTGTGCAGGACTATGTAGTGAAAAGCACTTGAGCTCGAGTTCATATACTCCGTATAATCGCAAGTGTGTACTCTATAAGTACAACACAACACTTTACCTATAAACTGCAAGTACAAATTTTACAAACGTCTCATTGTTTCAAAAAAGTATTGTATTTGAATTGAAATTTGATATATTTTTTGTTTCGGTGTATCTATTGGTTTCTTTTCTAAATCTTCTTTCTGAATATTCTTTCTTAGACACTTTTCTTCAAAACCTTTGAAACTTGAAAAATATATTTTTAAGTTTGGCAAAAATTGATATAGAGATTGTGTTAAAACTTTCTTTTATTTTGAAGAACTAATAAAAGAATAATAAAGGGAATCAGGAAAATTAATTTAAGAATTTCTATTCATTAGAAGAAATGAATGGTAGAAAGATAAATGGTGTCTGCGAAACTATGATTTTTATCTTGAGAAGGAGAAAATCATCATTTAGTAAATGAAGCTTGATATCCGGTGTATTTTAAACACTTGTAAAACAAATGTTATTATTAAAATACGGAGAAAAGTTTAATAACATAATGTTCAATTTTAACTAACATGGTTACAAAGATGGGAGAGTAAGATTAGAGATGCTGCTCGAAACGTCTTTTTGCTTCTTCCAGGTCACAGCTAAAATCAGTGACTTATGGTCAGCTTTTTTCTTTTCACGTTGTGACTTCAATTAAATATTTTTTCATCACCAATTTTTGTTGAACTTTCACATCTTTTGATATTTTTTGCAGATAACGATTGAATCGTACTTTTTAATAGAGTAAGATAGAGTTAATGATAAGATACGAGGATTAACCTTCATAATAATTTTCAGCTATCTGGGAGATAGAAATCGATATCCATGTCCTGATGTCTGATATTCACTTGCCCTTGGATATCATAGTCGTCGCATCAATGCCTATTGACAATGACATAAACGTTTGTGTAACCAACATATGAGGTTCAGGATCCATCTTGGACAGATGGTACTATTCTGTTAAGGGTGAATCTGCTAAGTCCCTCAGTGGTTCTGATCGTCAAGGGTCAGCATGAAAGCAATGCTTACTGGCCCATGAATGCAGGAAGTCATCAAAATGCCAAAATCCTACGAGGTGCAAAAGAATGTCAACATAACAATCAAGGAGGGACTAAAAAGTCTAACATCGCTCATACAGGAACGCATTGACTAATCCTCATTAACTTATCTTAAAATTAGGTTGAATTCGAAAACTAATTTAAGACGAGGAACATACGAGGATATTTTGGAAGGTTTCAGTTTTGACGTAACAATTAATTAAACAAGATGCAACATTAAAAATAGTGTCCCTCTCTCGTCTCTTTTTATTTGCTGCTTATTTAACTCTTGTCCTTAACTAATTATCAGTTCATCTGATTTGTGAGCCGGTTATAAAATTTTCAATCTCACGATCGAATCATCTTTATCTGATTTCTTTGATGACTATAATTTTTAAAAAAATTATTTTTTCTCAGCGATCACAATTATTGCTAATGAAAACCATAATATAATTTATCCATGAAAAGATTTTTGTGATTTACTCAAAGGATTCCAAACACTTTATAAGAGAATTCTAAAACGTTATTAAAAGTCGATATTCATAATTTAAACTAATTAAGCTAGTAACGAAAAGTCATTCAGATTTCCCTGAGGTCTGAAACTACAATTTTGTGCCACGAGACGAGACTGTGAATGGGCGATATCTTGAATTTATTACTAACCTGCCGTGGCCATTTGTCGTCTTCCACTTCACAGCTACGGAGACATTCGTTTCATCGCTCTCTGGATAGAATAGTGAATTATAGAAGATCAAAAAGGTGCTTTTACTTCTATTAAATTTACCGTCTCCTTTCATTTTCAAGTATATATATTTAATAAACCTTAATTAAATTAAAAATTGACAAGTATTCTTTTGAAGTAATTTCCTTCCGCTAATTAGAAAAATATTTTCACTCGTTGAAAGTTTTTTTTTGAACAAAGTGAACAAATTTTATTCCAATTACGTATATCGTTGAATAGTGTATTGAAAACAAGTAGTACAATATACCTTTGAGAATAAAGTGCATTTTATTTTTGTTCCGCGTATCGCTCATGAATGAATCCGTCAGAATACTTGAGATTTTATTTAAATTGTTAAGAGCCGTGTTTAACGGAGAGAAAGATTTTTGAAAGTAATTATTTTCAATAGAAATGATACCACCTATTCTATAATAGGGGATTATTAGTTACTTTAACTTTAAGGTTCTAAATTTAAGTTAAAAGCGTATATTGAAATTCTAAATACGAAGTTCATTATTCGGAACATGGGCGAAATTTGTTGTGGTGATAAGGTTCTGGTTATTATAGTAGTGAGAAGATAATGAGAATGGGGAATATTGAGAAACTGGGGAGGATGGTGAACTTTTGTGTGAGAAGCAAATGCTGCCTGCTGCCGCCGGACAAGCATGACTTGTATATGTTGTCGCGTCCCTGTACTATTTTGTCGGATATTAATGGAAGCTTGCTTGATAAATGAGCCGGCCGTGAAAAGCACGCGAAAAGATAGAGCTCTGACTATACGTGCGGTGTGACTTCCTTCTTTCCATGGCC